GAGGTCTGTGAAATGTTTCGAGACAGCGTTCCAGAGTATAGCGCCTCTATAGCTAATGGAGTTTTTAAGAAACTGCGAGTTAAAACGCGGGACAATTATATTATTACTCCTTCGAAAATTGTATGTGGTGCATGGTTTGTTTGTTAAGTATGACAGAGCCGTAGGTGCTTCACCTATAAACACGCTATGGAGTAGTTTAATTAATCGAAGTTTATAATAGAGGGTTAAAGTATTCCAGTTCGAATGTCGGTAAACTTCCTCAGTAGGCATATCTCGGGGCAAGTTGTATATAATTCTGGCCGCCCTACGGTGAAGTACTTCTAGCGAATGTAGAAGCTCTGCATTAGGGCAGCCGCCCCAGACGACTAGTCCGTATAGAACTGATGGTAGTATTATCTTGAAGTATAAGTCCAATCGGGCGTTTCTGTTCAAGAACGAACTCCTTTTCAATAGGCAAAGTTTGTTTACAAAATTCTTTTTTACATTAGTAAGGTGGTGGGTCCGTGAAAATCTCTCGTCGATAGTACCACCCAAAAGACGAGAGTGTTTCACCCACTCGATCCAATCCTCCCCAATTGTCACCGAATTTAGTGGCCCGATGTGCTGCTTCCTCATCAACAGCATAGCTACACACTTTGCCGAGTGAGGGGTGAAAGAGTTCTCTAGGCCCAATGAAATGGTGAATTCGAATTCTGTATACAAGACCGACTCTAATAGCTTCCGGTGCTCTCCCAAGTTTCTTTCACGTGAAACGGGCCCGATTCTCATAAGTCTTGGTATTTATCAGTCTGACCCCCCTGCGAACGTGACGAACGTTTAACAACCCTTCGCAAAATAGCTTTATCAAGGGGAGGTTATTCGATATTCTTCCCTTTCGAACAATAGTAACATAATCATTCCTAAATGGGGCCGTTTCTCTTCATATATCGGTTTCTGATTCTATTTAAATCATAGTCCATGCTGACTAGTAATCACATGGTCGGGGGCGCTAGGGGGTGGTGACGATTGCTGGGAAAGTTGTACCCTTGATCATTTTTGGCGGGAGATTGTTACGCGTGCTTCCAAGTTTCCTTGTTTTCGTCGTCTAACCTTTAATTTTGTCAAACGAAAATTTGTTCCTAAAATGATTTATCTCCGGGATAAACTATGGAAGAGAGGCCGAAAGCTAAAACGTAAGTGGCTTGGAGGTCAGTGGAATAAAAATGTAACTGTATCGTTTATTTTGATTATAAATTTGGAAAGAAGTTGCTTAGTTTAGTTCGACGGTCATTGATGTACTTTCGAGTAAATTTAATGTGTATCAAGGTTTCCAAAAAATTATTTCGCCTTACGAAATGTTTAACCAGTTTTTATTTGAAGAAAATCCATAGCAAACGTTTTGCTATAAGAGGAATGTTATCAATAGACCACTTTCATAAATGGCTGCTGAATTAATATTCTTTTGTTTCAATTTAAATTAGCCCTACTGGCCTCGTTCTCCAGTACAAAATTCAAAAGAATACATTATCTCAAGCGCGGCCAGAAGGGCTAATTTAAATTTAAACAGAAGAATATTTAGGCCCTGTTTACAAGCAAGGAGGGTAACCCTTGTGCTAGGGTTACTCTAGCAGGCGAGTCAAAGATAGCCAGGGTTTACAAGCAAAATTTCACAGGTAGGGTTACACTGCCACCCGGGACAACTTACCTATGCTTGGTAACCGCACGCATCGTTATCAATGTTCAAAGGGTCTGGAAACAAGTAAAAAGTTGTCCCGGATAGGCGAGTTATCTCCACCAGAGCGTTTACAAAGCAGCTAGGATTACCCAAGCGCTAGGGTAACCCTAGCGCTCAGCTAGGGTTACCCTAGTGCTAGGGTAACTCTAGCTGCCTTGTAAACACGTCGATGAAAAAAAGAAGAAATGTGGGAGCGTTAGGGTAACCCTCCTGCCAGGGTAACCCTAGCACTAGGGTTACCCTACCTGTTTGTAAACAGGTAAACAGGGCCTTATTATACGGCAGCCATTTATGAAAGTGGTCTATTGCATACTCAGTGATTTTCAAATTCAAAGAGGGAACGAGCTCAAAAGAATCTCACTGGGGAGGGCAAGGAGTTTCCTGCATCTTTTCTAGTGCCCGGTCTCTCTCAATTCATACTCTTCAATATGGCGGATATTTCGGTCGTATCCGGGGACATCTGTACTAAGCTCGGAGAAGGACCAACTTGGGATGCAGCTACGCAGAAATTATTTTTTGTGGACGCCTTAGACTACAGTGTGCATATCTTGGATGTCGAAACGGGAAAGGTATTGAGAGAAACGAAAAAGTGACTGCAAAGTTTACTTGGGAGGAGGCGATCGTTGCACGTTTAACTGCATGGCGTTGGCACTGGATGCCGTTAGATGGCTTTTCATTTTCTAGTTTTACCTGAATGGAGTTTACTCCTGCTGGGGTAATATTTTATAGGAGAGAAGTTTACTTAGGTACTCGTATAGATAAACTTCCCGAGCGGGTCTAAATGCACTCTTAGATTAGACAGGGGGGGGCGGAAGGGAGGAAAGCCAACTCCCATAGAGGTCTTGATCCATAAAGCAGTGGTACTGACATCATATCAGGAATTGGTAATAGTTTTCCAAAGCCCCCTACCATTGTAAATCAAAGCAGTACTCCCATTAATAATAATCTAATTTTTAGTCCTTGCCTTTGTTTTCTTTATCCAAGCAATCTGTATACATAATGAAGTATGAGGCTGTGCTGATACCATACCTAGGAAGTTACTGGTTGATGTCCTTTTGCATCAATTTAATTATTTAGTTTTCTTTTCCTTAATTTTGTTATTAGGCCAAAAATTATCAGCTAGATGGGATAGTTGGATGTGGTAAGCCTTAAACTGAATTTATGTTGTCAGTAGTAACAAATCCTATGATCGATATACTTCTTAGCTAAATAAATTTTAAGTTTCTAAAGCTTACTTTTTGAGTGTTAGCCCTTGGTCAAAGGGAGTTGAGAAATTTTGGGTGGTGTTTGGTTTTCAAAAAGATGGAGCTATACTATTGGTAGGGTCATGATAACAGGAAAAAAAAAACATGAAAAATAAAGTAGTTGAATGGAAAGCATTTGCTGATAATGTTGGAATTATGAGTGCTAAATTTTAATATCAATAAGAGTTTTGTTCGCTACTCATATTAATTGACTGATAAAGTTTGAATTTTTGTTTGGTGATGGTGCGTCTTATATAGCAGTATGACGCTTGTCACATAATTATTGGCCTCATTTTTTCCACATTTTTTTCAGTTGTTCCCAGAAAGAGAGGTGGTTCTGTAATCCTGGCATGTGAGAGAACAATAAGATTTTTAGATCTTGAGGTATAGGCTACCACCATCTAGTTTTACCTTATTCAAGATATTCAGATTTTCAATTATTTTATTTCAGTTTAAACCGATTTTCAACCGCCTCCCCGTTAGCTCAATTGATAGAGCGCTGGACTGATGTGCGGGAGGTCGAGGGTTCGAGCCCCAGCCGGACCAACACTCAAGGTCTTAAAATAATTGAGAAGAATATGCTGCCTTTCTATAACATCAAGAAATGGTTTAGATATTCTAGTCTTCTCGGATAGGGACGAATAAATGGAGGTCCCGTCTCCTGCAGGGTTAGGGGTAGGAGACGTTAATTTCCCACGCACGAGATTACTGTGTGATGGATGTCCTCCCCTGGGGTGGGATGGGTGGGTTGTTGTCTTGCATTTCATACATGAGCCTCTGGCTCGGGCAATATGGGTAACCATGCCCCACGTAAAGACATTAAACTTTGATTACTATTACTACTTACTTAACTAGAACCAGAAATATTTAAAAAATTTTTAGAAAAGTTATCAAATACATTTTGTTTTTAAAAAAATGTTGAAATATTTTTCATTAATCAATATTTTTATTTTTAATTTTTTTTGCAGACTGGGCAGCAGGAAGTAGTTGCTACAGTTGATGGTAAGTTTGTAAGTCTATACTTCAATTTTGGAATTTTCTGTCTTTTAAACTCTTAACACCCTATTACATCGGTATCCATAATCTCCATACTCTTTTCTACACATTTTTTTGGGTATTGACCCTGGAGAATTTATTTTAACAATCAAAGCTTTTAAGGTTGGTGATCATTTCCTTGATTCTCATGATCTTCAGTAATAGATGATTCAGCAGGATTGCTGATAGGAAATATTAGATGCTGCATGGTTAGGCACTCTTAGGGTTTTTAAGCTGGGTTAATATGATGTATTGGTAAAGGCTGATAGTTTCTAAAGAAACTGTTTGGGGCTTCGTCGGTGGGGGTAACGAAATAATTTCAATGTAGCAACAAAGTTTAAATGGTATATTGGCCACTATTACGATTATAAAAGCTGACGTTTCGAGCATTAGCCCTTCATTGGAGCAAATCACTCCACAAAGGGCTAACGCTCGAAACATCAGCTTTTATAATTGTAACGGTGGCCAATTTACCATTTCAACTTTGTTGAGATATTGAAGTTATGATGTATTGGTAGTTTGGTAATGGTTAAGAAGTGTACTAGAATTAATTTTTTTTTTTTGAACATGTTGTCTGTTTTGCAGAAGATAAACCAGAAAATCATTTTAATGATGGAAAGTGTGACCCAGTGAGTAACTAAATTATTACAAAAACTTACTGAGCTATACTTGATATGTATTTGACATTAAGAAAATGTTTGATTTGTGTTTTTTATGTTGTGAGGCATGAAAATTTTGTGGGAGTTACAATTAACACATTGGTGATTTCTTGTATTAATCAGACAGAAACATTAATTTGTGGGGTGCAGGATGTCACAACCAATTTCTGTCAGGAACAAAATTTGTGATTTTCTCTTCTCAACAAGCAGAGGAAATTTCAGGGGTTGAGGAAATGCTTCATTTTCAAATTTTGTGACTAGCTCAGTCATGAGGATGGTAGAATAATTATAACTTGTAGTATAATATTTCTGGTGTTCAAGGCATAATTTATGTTTTGCAGATTAAAGGACAATCTGAAAAAATTTAAACATGCAAAATATTTACGCTCTATGTTTAGATTGTTAGACACACAAGGCCTACTACTGTTCTAATAATAATAATAATAATAATAATAATAACACCTTTATTTAGACAAGATAATGTTTAAAGCTGAACAGCTTGTGGGGTTGTGTATAAATCCAAATAAAACTGTAAATTAAATAAATTCAAATGATGATGGTTTTTGAGGAGAGGGGAAAACCGGAGTACCCGGAGAAAAACCTCTCAGAGCAGAGTAGAGAACCAACAAACTCAATCCACTTATGACGCCGGGTCCAGGAATCAAATCCAGGACACATTGGTGGAAGGCGAGCGCTCTCACCACTGCGACAGCCCTGCTCCCCTTGATATTTCCTTATGTGAAATATCAACCGTATGTTTTCTTCTGCAAGGCTGGAAGATTTTGGGCTGGCACCAAAGGTAGAGAAACAGGTGTTGGAATTCTGCCTCCTGAGCAAGGGTCTCTGGTTAGTATACATGTTGTAGTTCAATTTTATCCTTGGTTCAAATTTTATTTTCCTTTGTTTCAAACTCATTATCATACATTAACATGACCGAGAACAAAGGAAAATAAAGTTTGAACCAAGTATAAAATTGAACTACAGCATTATACATTGCTGAATGACTTTTAGTTAAAACTGACATATGTTTTGAGAAAATTCCAAAAGTCGTTGCTGAAAGAGCAGTGAAGATTTTTAACCCTTTAACCCCCAAAAAGTGACCAGTATCTAATTTCTCCTTGCAATATCACTCCTGAATCACACATTAAGGTCAGGAGAATAAAGAAAATGATCACCAAGTAAAAATTATCTTGATTGTCAAACAAACCTGCCTTGTCAGCACCTTAGGAAATGTATATATATATATAGAACAGTATGGACAATATGCATACTGATGTTAAGGTGTAAAGGGTCAATTGCTGGTTTCTTTAATGGCCATCTGTGGTAATTATTAGTTATTATTTCCAAGCCATGTGTATCCCTGTTGTCAGAGTGCCCTTTTCCTTCTTCTCTGCTTTTATATGAGAATGAAAACTTGGGTATATAATTATGATTGTGGGATTATTTGAAATTAATACAGGGCAAGTCTCATTTGAGTGTAAACTTCAGATGACAGAAAACTTAATAAAATTATTTTTATTCTTGATTCTATTGAGACTTTTGGTACTGAGAGAGGCATGAAGTAGCAATGTGAATGCCATGTTCTGGTTGTGAATAATATACTTACATGAAAAAATCTAAATTAAGCAATACAATTATTATTTTGATTGAATCCTGATTTTTTTTTAATTTAGTTTTCACTCAGTGGTGACAGAAAGCTCACAAAGTGGATAGACAAGGTGCAGAAGAGTACAATTATTAAAAAGTGAATAGAAAATGATAACAGACATGTGTAAAATCATGCATTTGTTGATGTGATTGTAAACTACATGGAACAGTGTACATTTGCTAACTAAAGAGACAAAATTAATTCAGTCCCCTGTTGTTATGGGTTAAATTAGTGAAGTGTTGAATAGATGCAAAGCAGCAAATCATCCTGTTGATTGGATATGTTTGCAATTTATTTGAGCATAACACATGGCAGCTCTTAGTAATGGTCATTTTCAAACTACTGCTCATCTTTTTTCGTGATTCTTTGTTTTTAAATTCATTTGTTGTTGACTGTCAAGACAAGTTTTTAAAATGGACCTAATTCTTCAGTTAATTACTGCCTTGAATAAGCACGTGGGTGCTTATTTAAAAATTTCAGCAAAAAGTGAGGGCACTTATCTGAGGGGGGTGCTTATTTGATGATTTATCCTAGGGGGTGGGCACTTAATTGGGGCGGGTGCTCATTTGAGGAAATTTGAAATGTTTTCTTGAGAAATTCAAGTGATTTGTAATATTATAAATACATTTTTTTTTTCAGATTACAATATCCAATGGCATGACATGGAGCTTGGATGAAAAGACATTTTATTACATTGACACAGTCACCAGGCAAAGCCTTCTTAATTTTTCCCCCTTAACCCTTTATACTCTGACATTAGTATTCATATTCTCCATACCCTTTATTTTACATTTCCTTTGGTGCTGACAAGGAGAATTTGATTAACAATCAAAGTTTTTTAGGTTGTATTTGTATTGTACTGTTTTTAACGATTTGCCAAAGGCAGATAAATTTACAACAGGAAAAGGTTGTCTCCTACTAGGTAAATTACCTTTCCCTACCCCCAACCCCAATTTCAGTAAACAGGTCAGACCACAGCACTGGAAGCTAAGTTCCCTACTCTTTGTGATAAGTGTGTGGGTTCTTTAACATCCCCTGCTAACCAGTATATAGAAGATGCAGGAGACATGGCCTACATTTTTTTCGGCCTTATCCAAGACTAGAATGCCTATCCATTTCTTGATATAATAGAAAGGTAGCACATTCTCCTTTATTTTCAGGATTTTAATTAATGATTCAGTGGTATTACAACTGTAACAAGAAATTAAATGCTGGTCACACATAGGATATGAAGGATTAAGTGTGATGAAATAGTTTTCAATATTCATTATTTTTGCTTTTAATTAGTTGCAGTAACTGTAAATTAAGGTTTTGCTTTACATTATTTTATAGTAAAATACATGCATTTGATTACGATGATGAAGCTGGGGCCATATCAAATCGAAGAAGTGCAGTGCAGGTTGACCCATCACTTGGTGTAAGCTTACTGATTATGTAGAACTGTGTTTAATTTGCAAGACAGCATACAAAAAAGGAAAGAAAAAAAATTGGAGAACAATGTTTGAGTGGCTTGAGTGAGTTAATTAATAAATATTACATGAATATCTTTTTTTTTTTTTTTTAGTATCCAGATGGAATGACAATTGATTCAGAAGGAATGCTCTGGGTTGCTATGTATGATGGTTGGAAAGTAAGGCAATGATCTGGGCTCAAATATGTGGTAACAGAAGATACTATGCCAGCTTTGTAAACTGTTTTATCTTATTATCTATGTTGTTTGTATACATTTAATCAATTGTGCAATCATTATCAATAATTCAAAGGTACCTTTCATCTGTGGTTTCAGTTGTGAAGAAATTACCACTGACAATTAACTGTAAATGTTATTATAAAGACAGTGAAAATTTTTCTACATGTCTTGCCAAGTGGGTGGGTGGGTGAATGGGCAAGGCAGGGGAGAGATCTGCATGCACCTGTAACACGAGATAGTTATGTTCAAATTTGAGTTGTCTGGTCCTTCCGATTGAGTTATCAGGCAATTATTTGTAATTTGATATGATTATCCCTTTACATCTTAACATATCAGTATGCATATTCTCAATACTGATCTCTATACATTTCCAAAGGTGCTGACAAGGAGAATTTGTTTCACAGTCACTGAAGAGCTTCTTTAGTTGATGATCATTTCCTTTATTCTCCTGCATGACCTTAATGTTTGATTCAGGATTGTTATTATCCAACTGTGCTTCGTAGAGTACAAATACTGCATGGGACGAGTACAAATATCACGCGATATTTGCATGTACTCCAGAAATTAATATCCACGAAATTCCCCCGCACTGCAATGACAATTTGGCATGTTGGATAATAAATCTCTTATTAGACGTTTTGTTGTGTAGTATCGCTGAGTATTTTTACTCGTTGTTTGTATTTTGACTCACCCTATGGGCCCATCAAAATATGGCACAACTCGTATAAATACTCAGTGATACTACACAATAAAACGTCCAATAAGATATATATATATTTTAAGGAGCCAGTCACTCTTAGGGGTATTAAAGGATTATATGCCTCCTTCCTAAAAATAACTGTACCAAGGTTTTGGACCTCCTCAAGCTATTGTATTTGTATTTGTTGTCTGCAATGAGTAATATCATCTTTATTTGTTACATGTGAAAGGTCCCGTCCGGACCAACACTCAAGGTCTTAAAATAATTGAGAAGAATTTGCTACCTTTCTATAACATCAAGAAATGGTTAGATATTCTAGTCTTCTTGGATAGGGAGGAATAAATGGAGGTNGGGCAAATGGGGGACGCTAAATTGACCAATCGGAGCACACGCTTTACTTTGGTTATGTTATAATTAATTGTAGAATTTAAGGTATAAAAAAAAAACAGAATGTTGCACACTACAGGTATGATATTTTGCTATTTTGTATCTTCTGTAGAACTCCTTTGTCTTCATATTCTTTGTATTTAGGTCATACAATCAATAATCGTGTGTGTGTAATTGTAAAGTTTGCTGGATACTAACTTTGATTTTTTCTCTCCTAAATGAAAGGTTCATAACACTTAATGCACTATTTTCTTTTTAGCTTGAGGTTATCTCCAGAGGAAAGGAAAGCTCAGCCTCTGGCAGGTTCTGTATTCCGAATTAAGAATCTAGGGACACGTGGGTTACCAGCTATAGCATTTAATGGTTAAACAGAGTTCACTGATTTTAAAATAAAAAGTTAGTGAGGTTTTACATGTTGATCTCTCTCTGAAATAAACTGAATTTCAATTGGAGCAAGAAAAGGAAAGTCTGTTGCATTTTTTAAAGTTTCAGAGAAACCAAATGATTTTAAATTGAGGATGGTAAATTTGACATAGTGTTAAAGGCTAATTGTTTCGAAAGAAACTGTTAGGGGCTGCGTCGGTGGGGGTAACGAAGTAATTTGGATGTATCAACAAAGTTTAAATTGGCCACTGTAACGATTACAAAAGCTGATGTTTCGAGCGGTAGCTCTTTATCGGAGTGAATGGGTTATCCAGACTCATTTATTCCAGACTTGCACAGCAAACAAGACTTGTTTGTGGGTGACTACATACTGCTAAACAAGACTTGTAGGTCTTTAAGTGTGCTCTCACATGTTAGAGTATAAATAATGCAGTTTTGGTGCAGGCAGTGATTGTTTAAAGGGTGTGCTATGGTCATTTTATTTCTCACTCAGATGAAATTGTTACTTGATGATATTAAATTTTGTTAAATTATCAAAAATTTTAAAGTGCACCTACACCCAAAAAATTTTTTTCGCTTAACGAAGTAAGCTTATTTTTTTGAGTATTTCTGCGCAAAAATTTTTTTATTTGCTCAAATCTTCAATTTTCTATGCCCAGTCAAAATACGGAAAATCGGCCGCCATCTTGCCCCACGACCGAGTTTAAAGAGGAATGGCTCTAGTGGGTAATGTGACGTCAAATCGAGAACACGAAAGTCTGCATTTCACACATTTTCACTTGTTTGGGAAGGTTGTAGTCGATAATTGTCCGAAAATATGTCGACTAAGTGTGTTGTAGAAGGATGTAGCAACGTGCGAAATTTGCAAGAGGGTATCGTGCTTCATACATTCTTCATACAACACACCTAGTCGGCATATTTCGGACAATATCGACGACAGCCTTCCCAAACAAGTGAAAATGTGTGAGATGCAGACTTTCGTGTTCTCGATTTGACGTCACATTACCCGCTAGAGCCATTCTTCCTTAAACTCGGTCGTGGGGCAAGATGGCGGCCGATTTTCCGTATTTTGACTGGGCATAGAAAATTGAAGATTTGAGCAAATTAAAAAATTTTTGCACAGAAATACTCCAAAAAATAAGCTTATTTCGTTAAGCGCAAAAAAAAATTTGGGGTTTAGGTGCACTTTAAGGATATTCCTTGAAAATTATAAATATTTTATTTAAATTCTCCTCTTTAAGTCAAAAATAAGTACCAGTATGTAATTGGCTTTTAGTCAAAATATGAAATAATTTAATATCCCTTGGGGCTTGCAATGTGCATTACAAGTCTTAAGCAGGGACAAAGAAATAGCCACTCAAAGAAGTACATGTGTTACATACATGAACACAGCTCAACATGACCAGTTCCAAGGATTTTTTTTATCACTCTCTAATCCTAGGAGAAAGTAGCGGGAAAGCCAAAGTTTTAGAAGCTAGCTGTTTAGCTCTGTCAGCTCTTGTAGTACTTACATCTATTCACTATAAACCAGCCTTGGTTATAAATAAAAATAATCAGCAATAACAATCCACCTTTAATCATCATTCATTGTCTCAATGAACTATCTTAGACTGTAGATGTTAATGAGATCTTCAGTCTTACAGTAACCATAAATTGTTTCTGTACCAGCTTAATCTAGTTATAAAAGATTGTTGTGATCTCTTAGACTTCTAAGAACATCAAAGCAAACTTTGGGTAATTTAGAAGCAGAGCTCTCGAACTGTCAGCTGACTGTCCCGTAAGATGTCGTCTGACAGGCTACCAACAGATTACCAAAGGCTGACATCAAAAAACTGTTCAGCAAGAAAACTGGAAAAATTAACTACTATATGCATGGCATGCATGGAAATGCATGTCTGAACATATGTTTACTTGTAAACTTATATTCCACTTTTTAAAACGGCTAAGCGGCCAAAGAACTTTTTATTATAGAATAGTTAACTTATGGAATTCTTTAGATCACTCTCTTAAATTGTGTGATTTAGTCACTGTCTTTAAAAATCACCTGAAAACCAAACTGCTCAAAGAAATGTAATTTTCTATTTATATATTTTTATAATTTTTAGAAGCTTCTTAGTATATGATATGAGTCTTGGGATCGTATATTAGTCATTGTTATTCTTATTTGTGATTATAAGTAACTCTTGTGTATTGTCTTTGAAAAGCCTCCTTTACGGAAAGTCAATAAAGTATGTATGTAAAAACAATTGTGTTGTAGATATGTTGAGAAATATAGCAAGTAATTGATCAAAAATAAGCTTTATTGTTTAGTTTGTGCTGGTAGGTAAAGTCTGTTTATAAGCCTAGTGGCCCATTAGGCCGGTGCTTAACTCCGCTTCCTGTAGCATGAAGTGACTAGGAGTACTATTTCTACTCCCCCATGGATGGGATGCCAGTCTATCGCCTGGTTACTCCCCAGCATTAAATTGCTGGTACCCATTTATACACCTGGGTGAAGAGAGGCACTGTGAGAGTAAAGTGTCTTGCCTAAGAACACAACACAATAACCTGGCCGGGGATCAAACCCAGACTCGATCCAGAGTTGAGCGCACTAACCATGAGGCCTCCGCGCCTCCACAGTTTGTGCTGGGCACCATTCAATTATCATCAACATATAAAATTATATTGAACAACTACAAAACAAACTTTTAAACATTATTTGAGTTGTTTCTACTCTCTCCAGCCTTCTCACTTATCAATACTTACTTAGTTTTAAGCTCATAAAACTTGAGACTTAGTTTTACTTGCTCGAAGCTAAAGAAATTTTCTTGGAAAAGTCATTAAATAATGCTACAGTTCTGTCTGACAATCTTCAAAGGTTATCTAACCTTACTACGTGTATCTTCAGCAGATACTGTTGGCAAAATAAACAAATGCACAGTTTACATGTATTCCATAATATTTATTTGCCCATTTGTATTGCTAAATCAAGTATTCAAATGATGTAATGTTTTACACTTGAAAATTATCATATCAGATGTGGAGCTATAGAGCACTCCAAAAATGAGACGGCCAGTAGGTAAAAACTACCCTTGGGTTATTAAAGCATAAACATTTCTTTTCTTACTAAAGCAACTTCACAACAAATTCAAGCTACAGTCATATTAGACAAATGACAACATAGTAAAGAAAATAGTTATTGTATTCTTTATCTTGGTTTAATTATGTCCAGGCAGAAAATCAGTCACAATTTATCATAACTAGCTAAGTGATGGGGAATTTTTTTGCAACAAGGCCACAAAATCTCTAGTTACTGGCAAAGGCACATTAGGGTCAATGTGAATGTTGAGAAACATCTTGCGATCCCATGGTGGCATTAGGAGCCCAATGGTGACTCGCATCTCTTGCACTTGTGAACGAGTCACAGGTTTTGTGTCCCACTGCTTCAGTAAGTTTGAATCCTGGCAACAGGTCAACTGAAAATTGAAAATAAAAGTTGCATTTAACAGCCATTTTAATTTTTTTAATTTGATGATGTTATAACACATTTATGTATGATAAACAAGGAATTAATGGCACTGTTGTTTTAAGTTATGCCCATGTAACATAATCAAACAAAACAATGCATTACAAAATACAAACACCATGCACAAAACAAACAAAAACAGATTTCATTGTTTTGTGACAAAGGGCTAATTTGCCCCAAGTCACTAAATCACGGGAAGACTAATTCCTAGGATTCTTGTTCTAGAGGGCTTTTACAGAACTGTTCCATGAGATGTTCTTTCATTGATTTATTTATTTTAAACACTTTTTGTCTGACATCTCCTTGCTTCTTAGAATACACTGCGTGGTTAGTATACTTTTGTTGCCAAGCTAGATATAGCAATCTAGGGTGTGAGAAGATGGCTTCATGGAAAGTTGATAACTGAAAATCAGTTCTGAGTAATAGTAAACTGTGTAATACTGTTTTCTTACTTGATTGCCCATGATCTCACAAGAGAGAAGGCATTTTGTGGGTAAAGGACACCTGTAGCATAAATTACTGGTAGCTTGACTGTCAAGTATATCAGAAATTGCTAGCATTCTGTATAATTACATTCAGAAAAGAAAAATATGTTCATACCCCACAAAATCCACATAACCCAAAGCAACAAGGGGGATGTCCATAGACTGTTATTTCTCCGCGCACCCCTGTCTCCCCACACATCTCAACACTTCGCAGACAGCGTAGAGGTAGTGGGAGGTAATAAGTGGTATCATTGCATGATGTCTGAACACTGTATCCTCCTGGCAGCTTCTTTGCATCACCCCACTCCACCAAGGTTGTGCCTGCAAAGCAGTAATGACAATCATTATTCGGAGCTGCGCTGGTAGAGCCCTTCCGGGGTTGTAATCTGGTGGTCCCAGTTTAAAGCATTCCACCCTACTACTCACTAGATTTGTTCTTGGTTGTAAATTTTGTTGTCAGTAAAAAGAAAAGGCCAAACTTATTAAAACTTAATTAATAACCAAAGATTGCATACTTAAATTTACCAGCAGTTTTAGCCATTAATTTTTCATTTACCAGTTTGAGATCCCTGCAGAGAAATTGTTCTAATGCAGTGCTTTCAATAAGATTTGAAATTGGTGGCTACCTTGGTACAGCACCTGCCGGAGTGCGACTTGAGCATGGTGAAATACACCTGGCGACTCACAACAGAATACCCTTCGGAGCTCCGGCAGGTACCAGGTCTTATTGAAAGCACTGGTAATGATTAAAAATCTAATTCATGCCATGTCAGCATTTTCATTTATTACTTTTCTAGCTCATGATAGCTAGGACTCAAATGTTCTGCAAACCTGAGGGAGACATTTTGTGTAAATTACTGGCAACCAATATTGTTTGCTTCTGGAGACCATTGTTCTCCAAAAAATTCTTAGAAGTTGATGGCAATTATTCAAAATTTTGAGCCCACTTCTGTGCAATTAATGTGCACTATTTGTAATTCTTGTACAAAATCAGTCAAGATCTGATTTGTAATTCTCTCCTCTAGCTGCTACATTTTGTAAATTAATTAATTATGAGAATTCTGAGTTACATCATGGTCACAGTTTCTACCTGATTAGTTTGAATATTCTCATTACCTGTTTACTGGGTAATGCTTTAGGAAGAAGTTATACGTTAATCACTTCTAAGAATAGAAGGGTTGAAAATGACATATGCTTGAGTCATTTCATTATCATGCTAACTCATTGTCCACTGTTCATCTTTTATTTGTTTGAGCAGGTTGAATTTCATGGCAGCAATTAATTGCTGATGTGGACCTGCTATCTTCCCCACCCATCCCACCCCACCCCAGGGGAGGACATCCACCACACAGTAATCTTGTGATGGGAAATTAACGTCTCCTACCCCTAACCCTACAGGAGACAGGACATATGGTTTATTTGTCATTATCAGAGAAGACTAGTATCTCTATCCATTTCTCGATATTATAGAAAGGTAGCAAATTCTTCCCAGTTATTTTAAGACCATGAGTATTGGTCTGACCGGGGCTTGAACCCTCGACCTCCCGCACAACACAATCCGGTGCTCTAACAAATTGAGCTAACCGGGGGGGAAGTATTCAGCTAAACGGGGGGCGGTTAACTGTTAAAGACAAAAAAATCACCTACCCACAGCAAGTTGTGAAGACAAAAAGAGAACTCTCTTGTTTGTTAATAGGCAAATGCCACCACTTCTCTTGCTGATAGGGTGAGCATTTTCATCACAGAATTGTAGGTATGTGTAGTTCATGAAAGTGAACTGATTCATAGCTTGAAACATTTCCCCTTCGTAGATCAGTCCTGCCAAGAGGTCTTTGTAACTCATGTTTCCCTGAAGAGAAAAAGAAAAGTAGACAGTCGAGTGAAATTTCACATAAAATCATGCTTCTCCATGGGAAAGCATGCTTTTTTCACTAGATGAACATGTGCTAATCCTAGTTCACAAACCTTAAGAGAGACAAACTGGCCCTGAACAGTGCGTTGGAGCTGATCAGCACTGTGCCGCAGTGTCCTTTGAAGAGTTGCTCCACTCATGTGTTTGGTGGTTAATGATGTCAAAAGGCCTCTGGAAGCTGGATCCAACATTGCATCAGTGAAAGCCTGAGGCTGAGTGACCACAGGGGGGGCTATGGTAGCTAAGAAATCCATGTTAACTGCAAATTAGGAAAAAAAAAAATTAATATTGCCTCCTTAGAATTTCACTAATTCTTTAAGACAGTGCAGCTCTAAGGTTACTGTAACTGATTGCTCGAAACACATGGACATGGCTTCCACCATAGATCTTTTATTCCCAATTCTCCAAACTCATGTCTGGTGACAGACTTACATGTACAATACAGTGTAAATTTCATTGTAAACTCTCTCCATGGGGGCTTTTCAAGAGACAATTAATATTAATAATACAAATAATAAAAAAATACTCAAAAATTGCCAATAAAGAATTATTAATGTAAAGAAACTATTTGCAAATAAAATTTATGACATAAAAATTTGAGTTAAGATAATTAAACAATCAGGGCTGTGGTCTGGCAGTGCCCAGTGGCCCCTAGCACCTTACTTTTGCTCTTGGGTGACTCAGGAATCTTAGTTTTTTTCATAAACAGCATATGTTGGGCACCCTGGATTTCACAGCTTCAGAGCATTGGGCTCCCTTCAATTTTTCTTAGACCACAGCCTTGTACAATACTCAAAAATTATTAATAAACTATTAAGAAACTATTTGCATATAAAATTTATGATGTCCATTAAAAACCGATTTAAAAGGATGGCTTTCATTTTACGGTCGAAAATGATAAGAGATCCACTTAATTTATAATGGGGTTTTAAGGCATTCCACAATGTTACAGTTTTGTAATAAAAAGATCTCTGTCTCGGCTTGGTTTTGGAAAGCAGTATATTAAGCTGGGAAGATGATTTTGTCATCCGACTACTGATATTATTTTCCTCTGGGGGATAAAGTTTGAACTGACTGAGGTAGTTTGGTACTTGACCTGTCATAGATTTAAAGGCCATTAGCTGGCATCTCTTAGATACAGGTGGGATTTAACTGGTCTTCATCTCAGGTTTTTCAGGGCCATTGTTGCCTACTCTTCAGAATTTGGCATTCCATCAAGACACTTCCTTAATTCCCACTAATATTATCTACTTATAATTAGTAACACTTCTTCAAAATTACGAAGAGAGTTGTTGGTTGCTGCTGTGAGTTAGTTGAAGGATTTAATAAGGGGCCATGACCAGGTGAAATAAGAATTAGACATTTTTTCTATACTTTCCTTGGGAAATACAGTAGGATTTGGGCCATCTGAAGGAAATGAGTGAAAAATGCATTAAGGATAAAGGTAATTTGAAAATGTGATCCGCATAAAATTTGGGCTAATGGTTATACATGTACCCTCCCTAAACTCTGACTATATAATATGTCTACCAGAACCACTGCAGCAGCAAACCCAAAGGGAGAAAAGAGGAAAGATCACTTTTGTGCCTTATATATATCTGTTGTTTAACCACCAAATGTTTTACAAATTAAATTAGTTGGGGAATATCTACCCATCAAAATAACTTTAACCCTTTGAATTGCCAAATTTTTGTTCTCAAATTGACTTTTACTTCAGTAAGACAAACTTTAAGTTTGCAAAAGCTTTGGGCCAATTACTTGGTGAAGACTTTGGAGCATCAAATCTTTGTGGCAAGAAAATAAATGAACTTGGCTCAGTTTTTGGGCAAAGCTTCGATTCGCGCCCATGATCCAGCTAGCTTCAATCTCAATAAATAAAAAGAATTAACATACCCAGAGAGCAACATGTGCCCAGAAATATTTAAGGCAAGAGTACCATATAACCCCATACATTAATTATGCATTCAGTCTTAATTTAAGTAAAGCGGCAGATTGGTTTCCCTAAAAGATCCATGCGACAGACGAGTTGAAACCACAGGTGGCCCAAGCTCTGTCACAGGCTCTTTCACAGTGAATAATCAAAGAATGAACCGAATTGAATTCTCTCTTTGAACACAAACGCATGTTCTTATGGAAAACCTAAATTGTGTTGAGGGTTTGGATTTTCATCGAGGTGAAATCAAATAATGATTCGTTCTTGTCCGACCCGAGAAATTGTGTCATTTCTGATTTCGCTCACTTCGACGAGTGATCACAGAAGCGAAACCAACATCGTCGGACAAACTAAACTAACTTCGAGATTAATCAAAAATTAATTTAATTTCCCCAGGCGATTTACGACCCAAGTCGGGAGCATAAACTTTGAGATCATTTTTAAGCCAGTTCATGGACAATTAAATGCCAATCTTAAATATTGCTTCGACACGCTCGCAATTAGCTCTAGACAGACAATATACATGTCAGCTTAGCTTACTGGATCCGGTAGTGGCGAGGGAAGGACCGTCGAAGTTTACATTACTTTCGGCCATTTGTTGCAAAGGTATCAAGGACGGCAAAGGAACTTCTTTATCGTCTTCTGCAAATTCAATGCTGCTCGCACTTCCACGTCTCTTATTGTCTGCGATTCGCATGTAGCTCATGAGTGTTCCCTGTCAGTGACTACCGCGCAAACTCTTTCTAAGAATGATACGCGGCCGTTTCTCAGAAAAACAGAACAAACCGTTATTGTCCAGGGTGGGAGGGGGAGAAATTTTATTAACACCTTTCCTCACAAACTTCTTCATTTATAAGTTAATCCAAAAATTATCATTTCTGCTTTTATTTCTAATAGGAAAAGCTTTCCAAGTTATAAGAACGCTTGATTTAAGGGGTTTCACAGCTCTTCGAAAGTCAGCCCAACCATGAAGAAGTTGACAATTCGACCTGACTGGAGTAGAGTGGAAAATCTTTCAAAAAAAACAAACAAAAAAAAAACTAAACAATAAAACCAAAACCGCGACGAACTTACAAAATAAGAAGATCAAATGTTCTTTTCAGTGTCAAGTTACTTTGATAGTCTCAATCATAAAAGTAAGTCGATACATTTTATTCAATATTTGCTGTTTTTAAATTGATTTGGTTTTGAACGAATCATCCAGGCAACGTCGAAGAAAGACCTACAGTAACGTTAAGATTACCTTGGGTCAAATTCTCAGAATTCAATTATTTTTCTACTAAGCGCTAGTTCGGAGAGTCCAGGAATTGAAAAAATATCCGCACAATTAGAAAAGCGGTGAAGAAAATTAATAGAACTTAAAAATTTTGCTGTTAGGTTGTTTTTCGCAGATCATTCACTGAGACTTTGATAAAATCACTACGCGTCTTAAGTTCAAATTAGTCCTCCACACAAGTCTCAGTATTCAGTTGGGACATCGAATAATTAATAAGCTTTGAACTCACCAGGAGTGGCCATATCTTCAAGTTGAATGGGAACGTCCTCAGGCCCTGCTTTAGAGCTAACACGTTCCTCTTTAACGCTGTTTTTAGGGCGTTTGAAACTCATTCGTTCGAACCCTCTGCACACTTTTTGCTAGCAAAGCGTTCCGCCTGTCAATTCCTAGAAATGTGTACACAATAGATCGTCGTGTGCGACGTAATTCTCGGAAATGATCAGGAGGTTATCCGCATAGACACGTCTGTGACCTTGCATAGTTCTTATAAATTGAATTCAGTGTCAATCCCCCTTCGGATAACACATCTGCTAGAGGGTCTCAACGGGGTAAACCGTATGCCTTAAACAGCATTGTAAACGCTGGCTGTTCGGCGTAAAACTTCACAAATTATAACCGTTAGTCGCAAAAGCTACCACTCCATCGAGACCCTCGTGTTAGAGCGAGTTGTTAGAGCCCACGGGATTTTCGATGAACTCAGCGATAAAAAGCCGCATTTTAAATTCCGTACTGAAATGAACAAAACAGAAAGGTCAGATTTTGCTTCTTTGAAAAACTTTAACTGGCTCTCATATTTCTTTAGTTAAGAAAGGACAGAATAATTTCGCTTTAACTTAAATGCGACATGAAAAATGGAGAAAAATTTCTAAACCGTTCAAAGTTCAAATTCATACTCGAGCCGTCGCGTGCATTTTATTTCAGTATTCATATTTCTTTTTATATCTCTAGGTCCATAGTCCGACCTGGTTCAGTTCCGGACCAACACGCAGGGTCTTAAAATAATTGAGAAGAATTTGCTACCTTTCTATAACATCAAGAAATGGTTAGATATTCTAGTCTTCTCGGATAGGGACGAATAAATGGAGGTCCCGTCTCCTGCAGGGTTGGTGGTAGGGGATGTTAATTTCCCACACAACGAGATCACTGTGTGATGGATGTCCTCCCCTGGGGTGGGATGGGTGGGTGTTTTAGAGGGCCATTAGGGAGAATACTTTCAAGAGCAATTGGTGTCACCCTCTTAAAATAAAGGTTATTATTATTATTATTATTATTATTATTATTATCATTATTATTATTATTATTATTATTATTATTATTATTATTAAAAACGGTACTTTTATTTCCTTCGATGCTTACATGGTAGCTTTTGATTAAATTGATTTAAGTTGTGCTTAAATTTTGTGCCCCCCCTCGTTGCGTCACGCTCTAAGCACAAGTTAAAGAGAAATTGCGGAAAATCAATTTTAATTAGTTTAACTCTCCGCTTGATTGGTCTTGGCGTTAAAAATTTTGATTATATGAGTTTAAGTGGTGATTAAATTATTTGCTCATATCTCATATCTGTTTAGTAATGCGTTAGAAACACAAATTACTTCTGGAAGGAGACATTGCGGAAGATTAACTTGGTTGTTCATCTGGCCGCCTGACTGCTCTGGACATAAGGACAGTTTGCATAGCCGTCCAAAAACAAATCTATTTTAACAGCACATCAGCAAGCTTCTAACGATTCTCCACCCGTCAAACCCCCCCCCCCCCCTATGACAGCCTCCCACAAGATCTTCACTCAAATGTGAAGAAACCAATATTAATAGTTGATAAACTGAAAATTTTTGGAAATTTCTGATAAGAACCAAAGAGGTACATGTTGTGTACAACGAAACACTTGTTTAGTAAGCCTGAGATTAAAGGTCTCAATGAGTCTATCCAACAAAATTTGACCATTAGTCGTTAAAAAAAATTCTGTCAAGTTTGACAGAAAGAAATTAACCGTTAGCCGTGAAATGGCCAAACTTTTGAACTGTTAGTCGTAAAAACCATCACCCATTGAGACACTGTTGTAAGTGTACGAATATAGAACAAGGGAACAACAAAAACTAAGGAGAGATAAGGAGATTAGCTTAAGGCGGGGTGAAGAAGGAGAACAGACACGAGTTCTAGAAAAAGTAATGAATAAAAAATTTTACACTGTACTCTTTGATCGTTCATGAGTTGATAAAAGCGAATAAAGAACTTACTTGGTGGCGCATTAGGATGTGGAGGAATTGGAAATTCCTCATACAAGGCTGAAGTGTCTGCGAGTCCCTCGGCCAAAGAGTTTCTCAGCCTTCTGAAGTTCATCTTTTTCACTCTAATTTTCAGCTGTAGTGGACAAGTTCAGTAATGGCAGCACTAAGCAATGCTTCTGCTTTAAAAAAATGCAATGAGTATTTGATACGTGCTGCACTCTCAGTGACTAAAGAGGAATTTCTCGTCACAGTTGCAATACATTTTCACGCGTAAAGGAAATGAGAGGTTGGAAAGATATCAAATGGAGGAAGTAGTTTGATATAACAAAGAGAAAACAACTATCTACACTTTTTGTTAAACATTATACAGCATTGATCTTTAAATCGAGGTAGTAAAAGAGTTAGAACCTTGTGATTCCTCCCCCCCCCCAAAAAAAAACACCCCGAGCCCCCCTACCCAGCAGTGAATAATGACTGTTCTCTAAGTGTAGGTAGAATTAAGATAATTATGCCAATTGAAAACGAACATGGCGCGGCTCGAGCACTACCTCAGGAAAAGGGAAACATTTTTTGATCCTTGTGCTTGTGCACGCGCTTGTGTTTATGCTTGCATCGAGGCCATTTTCACGGTGGAATATGAGCTGTTATGCTTGGGTTTGTGCTTGCGTTTGTGCTTGTGTCGCTAATGAAAACCGGGCTTGAGAGTGACCAATAAATATTTTCTCACAACAATGTCAATGCATTTTCAAACGCAAAATAACAGTTATATCAAAATAGAGCTCGATGTCAACGAGAGGACACTTTCAGACGAAGCATTGAATTTTCTGATTGTAGTCCACGACAAATTTATAGCTGACCGTAAGCAGAATTTTGCTTGTGTTCATGAGAAAGAAAAGATGAATCCTTAGTGATGGGCCCTGGCGTCAGAAATTTGTTGGAAAACACTGCATTTTGATAGGATCAAATTTCTCGTCGAGCGGCAAGTTCACCAAAATGATTGATATTTCTTGAGATAACGATGTTCTACTCGTCACGTGAGTTGTTCGACTGTAACAGTCGTGACTCGCATATTTTTCGTTGTTGTTATCCTGTAGATGAACTGACGAAAGCTTTCGAAGTTTTGAAACAGTTGGCTAGAGCATTATTTGAGGTCCCAAATGGAAATTTGCCCAGCTGTTGAAAAAGACAGTCATTATCAAACCTGTCATTAGTGATAAAAATTGCTTGCTTACTATTGGGAATCCGTTGACGACTTTAAGAACCGTAGGTGGTAGAAGTCTATGGCGAGAGATTAATACGCAAAGCACAGTGGAACTCTGAAGTTTCCATCGAACGAGCGTGAAGGCCTTCGTGATTCGTTGCCATCATAACATTGCATCTGTGCAATGAAGGGTTTGAAGAAGAGTGTTCACATGGTTGTCTGTTGCCATTGCTTTAAGTTATCCTTGTAATTAAATATTATCCAGCTACAATTCAAATCAAGCTTAAATTAATATAAAGCACTGTAGGCTTGAACGAGAAAAAAATGGAAAATTATTAACTCTTATGACATGGACAAGAGGTCAGCATGTGGGACCCCCAATGTAGAGATCCCAGGTTCGAGTTTCGCTCATACGTCTTACTGGACGGTTTGAAATAGTGAGGATAATAGCAAATAGACCTTCCAAATGGCCAGAGATAAGAACTCTAAATTTTGTTTCACACGCGCTCCAAAGAGCTTGCTCCCCGGAAATTCAGTTAATACTGCTACTAATAATAATTGTAATAACAATGTAAATAGAATAAGAAAGATTGTGAATTTTGAGCTCGGTTAGGAAATAGAGAAAAACGGGTTTCGTCATGTCACGAGGCAAGACAGGAAACATCTTTCTCTTATGATAACAATACCTTAATGCTTATTTATAACATAACCAAAGTAAAGCGCGCGCTCTGATTGGTCAATTTAGCGTCCCCCATTTGCCCATGGGTGTACGCTGCTGACGTGAGCAAATGCAAAGACTATTTTTCCGCGCGCGCTTGTTTTTTCTGGTCGCGTAAGATTTCTTAAATAAAAGGGAACTCTTTAGCTACAATGTATCAATGTTATGTTATAAAACAAATGGTAAACACCACAGCGTACACTATTGAGTTATAGATGCACTTGGGAGGTTTGCTAAGCAGTCAAGAAGCTAGAGTCGCTCTCGGCTATCGCCTCGAGCGACTCTTACGCTTCTTTCGTGCTTAGCAACCTCCCGCGTGTATCCATAACTCAATAGTGTACGCTGTGGTGTTTACCATTTGTTAAATAGCGCTAGGATTCCATATAGATACTCTCCAGCGCTTTACAATCTTTTCCAAGAAAAAAAATCTAACACAGTTAAGTCACAAAATGGCATATCTATAAATATTCCTATCATTTACAATCAGGTATAAATAAAATTGGCGGTTCCTTACACAAAATCTACTTCCATTATAAAGACCACTTCCATTATACTTAACGAATATATTAAAGGTCGAAAGCAATACGTTTTTGACGCCGACTTAAAAATGTGCAGCTTATTTGCGCGACGAATTTCAGTCGGTGGTTCGCTGGCGCGCTTACATGTAGGTGGCTGCAGTAAGAGTTAAAGCCCAGGGATACCATTTTTCGAAAGGCTATGTATCTTTTGAAATTATTCAAATTGGGTGGTTGGATTATCCTTCTCCATTGCCTTGATAGTTTGAATCTTTACTCTGAAGGCGTGACTGGAGAAAGCAGACATTTGATGGTAAATTAGCCATCGTGATGATTACAAAAGCTGACGTTTCGAGCGTTAGCCCTTCGTCGGAGCGAATGACATTTGATGGCCTTGGCGCGCAGGAGATGGGGAGGTCAAAGAATTCCATTTTATTCCTTTGAAACTCAATTCCACGATAACTTTTAAGTGATTTTTAATGTGTTCAAAGACTACTTAATTTTGATACAAATATTACTTATCAGTTTCAACAATGCACCGTCGTTAAACATACATAAAATATTTTTTTCCAAAGACTATCTACCTGGATAGCATAATTCACATCTCATAAGCGTCCAAGAGAAGTTGGAAAATAAATTATCTTTGTCTTCAAATATCCTAACCATGAGCAATGAATTTATGGCATCCGTAACTTTTTCCTAAGACGAGAAGCAGCCTTGACGCATTTAAATCCTTCCTTACAAGTCTTGGTCCCTAAATCGGCATATGCTGAACTAGAAGGACCCTCCTCAGGTAAGCACATCGTTCCAGGCCCATCGCAAGTCATTCGACAGCATTTCAGTCCCCTTGCATCACACATTGTCTCTTCAGGGACAAGATCGTGATGGGGCTTACACTGAGGGGCAACGAGTTGGCAAGACGACAGAGCCCCTCTTTGATCGCACTCGCAGTGGTCGCAACCTGTATAAAATGATTTTCGTTATCATTCTATCAATTCACAAGAAGCTTCTGACATCTTCTATATTAGCGGTATGAGGGATGCGTGTCGCATATGAACCTTATGATGTCTTTATTTAGCGTAGAGTCTCTCTGACAGAGTCGTAGAGCTGTTAATTTTTAAGTTCAAATTAGGCAATGAAATTGGTTCATGAAGTGGCAACTACGCAAGCTCTGGTCTAATTCACGGGAGGGTGCTCTATCTGTAACCGAGAGAATATATAAACAGCTCATAACCTCTTGCTGTTAGTCAGTCAGCGTCGGAGCACGGAATCTGAAGTTCTCACGTTCGATTCACCATGAGGAATCAGAATTTTTCTTTTGTCCCACGCTCAAGTTAAGACAAAAAAATCACCTACACTCATAATTAACAAGAGATTATAAACTGAGCAGTTTCTAATCTCTTGCACATACGTACACGTGCTTTACGTTGCAACTTAAAAAGGCCCACAAATGGTTTCTATGAGAGCAATCATTCATGTGACTTTTCGTTTCGTTTTTCTTTCGATGGTTGAAAGTTACGTGCGCACATTGTGCTTCACTAGTATCACTCATGATCATGCGTGCAAGTACTAACCTTTCACAAAGAGTAATGTGTGAAGCAACGCCGAAAGGCAAGCCAGCCTACGAGCTGTCATCTTTTGCTGAGGGTGAAACTCCTATCAAAAGGCACAGAACGAAAATATGTCAAGTTTTTCCATTTCCTAGAATACAGTCATCGACAAAGTTATTGACACTTTACCGTTGAGATCTCCATATTCTGGAAGAGCATAAAAAAATGTTATCCCTGATCTTCTTTGAGGGAAGGGGGGGAAGAATAAAGATGGAGGGGGCCTTGTAATAGGGCGAAGCCCTCCAGGGAACAAGATCGTTCCTTTCGGTTTGAATTTTTTACCACAATTTGCAGTAATGTCGCAAACTCATTGGCCAATTTGCCGTTGTCGATAATTGAATAGACAATGCTGCCCGTGTCAACGTGTCACGCAGTGAGTCACGCACTGAAAGAATCGTTTTATTTGACTTCGTTTTTGTGATAAAAAACAAACGACAGCGGTTCAGCATGGTCCATTGCGGACTCTCTTAGCTGCGCCTCGAATATCGTTGCCGAGAGTACAGACCATGCTAAACCACTGTCGATTTGTTAACTCTCAGATTTCACTAGATTCAGTGGTAGAAAAAACAAAAACCAAAAACATACACAAACATAAACAAAAAAGGACAATGAAAGGGAAAGCGGGGAATGGTGTCGAGTGCCAGCCTAGGTTGTGAGTGTTCTTGGCTTGGGCGTTACTTGGACCATGTCTCGTACACAGCCACGGCCAAGCGATTGTAAGCATTTCAGTTACAGTTAGATGGTAGGACCTGGGTACGAGATAACTTGGAAGTTACTGCGAGCCCATGCGTCACTGAGAGACACTGCCAGATCTCGCGTAGACAACTGAGTAAGGGAGGGGTCTGTAAAGGCAGAATTTCCCTTAAATGTAGGGTGCGGCTGTGTGCAATAGTCGTTGCAGGTTTTTTTAACTTCTACCTCAGTTTTCGTATTTATACCAACAGGGACACCTGCTAATTAGAACCACTGAATAACTTACGTGTTGTAGAATTTTGTATTTGTAGAAAGCTCAAAAGAAAAATTTGGACAAAGACAAACTATATAGAGATTAATCAGGTAAATTTTCCTAACGTACAATTTGAAGTTTGCCGGCTGGATTAACTCAAATAAAAAAGTATGAAAAATAACAGGGTTCAAATTGTCACAGTCTCAACAATTCGTATTATTTTGGCTCGTCTTTCATGGAAAAGCAGCCAGATGATGAAATGGAAGTTTAAAATCTTACCTTGCCTCTTGCTTATTAAACCTTTGTCTAAACGTTTTTTGATTATAAAGTACAGAGGACTAAGGCGTGAAAGCAAAATTTCCGCCGAGAGTTGTAAAGCTTTTTAGCGCCGCTTTGCCTTCGCCTCAGGTAAATAGACAGTTTACTTTCTCACGCTTGGTCGAGTAACAGGTGCTTGTAACAGGTGTTCATTTGTTCATTCGAGAAAACACAGCTTACCAATTTTCAACTGAAAGCATTGTTATGGGAAGGTAAGTGTTTCGCCCAATCAGAGATGCGCATGTCAATAATTTTGTATCGACATAAAAAAAAAAAAATTACAGCAAAAGATAGAGGAATGTGTTAAATGTTCTAGAAATCCCCTGATTGCCATTAAAGATCACACCAAGAAACAGAAAGAAAAAGGTTGTAGAAAATGTTTTGGATATATCAACAAAGTTGAAGTGGTAAATTGGCCACCGTAACGATTCCAAAAGCTGCCGTTTCGAGCGTTAGCCCTTCGTCGGAGAGAATGGAGCGAAAATGTTGTTGTTCATCGTGGTTTTGTAGACAAAAAAAAAAACGTACAATCCGGTGTTTGTGTCACGATGAAAGCGTCAGGCTTAAAATAAAAGTAAAGAAAGGCTTTAACTCTCTGTCAAAAGTCTGTTTCCTGGAAAGCGCTACATCTGACGGTTGCGTTTGAAGAAAGAAAATATCTTTTGGTCAGTCGAAAGCGTGAAACAAAGGCGACATTCTGATTCCCTGGGAATTCCGTGCTCGGATGCTCTTCCACTAAGCCCTAGAAACTGCGGCATACTGCTAGGATCAGAAAGGTGGAAATCGTCATGAGCGTAAACAGAGTAAAAAAGATGGTAAATTTTGAGCGTGGTAACGAAGTAGGCAACGATGTTTTTAATCTCGTTAAAAGCGCGGAAGAAAGAAAAATATTTCTTATTACCCATCAGGAATCGAGCCTCAGGCGTTCGTATTTAGCGCTCCAATGCACTACCACTGAGTGAGAGAGAATATTCTATGATAAACGTTTTTTCATCAAGTTCGGCCTATACGTGAACCAATAACAATATATAACAGGACAACGTGAACAATGAAAACAACGGAAGAATAGAGATTCTGAACCGTGACTACTCAGTGATTCTTGTATTAGACCTCTCTATTACTAATGGGCATGTCCATAACAATCTTTGCTAGGAATGAAGATTCTAAGTTGTTGTTTTTGAACAAGTTGTCGAGACCAGAAAGGGTAAATAACACGAATGAGAAAAACGTAGCCGTTAGGCCCGCCACTTGTGAAAGAAGTCTATCCGTTTGTTAAGGAAAAACGCTATAAAGTGTTCATCTATATCTCGCTTACTTAAAATTTATTTAATGCTTAGCTCCTAGTTGGCGCGATATCTTACTTGGTGAGAACGCCACAATATCGCAAGATGATTTGGGGTTCAAATCAAGGTTGACCCTGATGTTTAGTCAGGATTTAAAATTTCATCAGCGTATATGTCGCCTTTCTGATTGCTATGACCTTTGCCCTAAAGTTACTCTGAAAATTCGCTCGCTCTCCATTACTTTATTAATTGAATAATTGATCAAAATAAACGACTTTGAGATGTACTCTTGCTTGAGCGCAAAACGTTTGCAAACATTCTCAAGCAGCAAGTGAAATCCCGCAGTTAGTTCATTCAAATCGCATTGAAAGTGTAACAAATAAATGCAAGAAAACAAAAGGAAAAAAAAGAGGAAAAGACAGAAAGAAAATGAAAAGTAGCTAAGTTTTTAAATTGAAAAAGAGGGATAAGAGCTAGTTACTCTCTGATAACAATGTTCTTTCTCACGTGTAAATATTCGTTGATACTTGGACAGACAATGGTCATCTTCATTTCATGTTGTGTAATGAATAATAAGTTTTATTTTTTGGCTCTTCATCCGGTGAAACGAGAAGGTCACGTTTTAAGACACGTTTAGCTTGTCATTAAATTTAAAAATAGCCGCAGCTGTAGATGAAAAACACTTTTGTAATTTCATGCAGTTTGTCACATGAATTGCCTGCGCGTGATGTTTTTCCCTTCCCGATTTAAACCTTCCAATCCATGAAACATAGTATCTGAAAAGAATAGTTATCAATTGCTAAACATTACGAACCCTAATTTTTCCCCATTTTTGTTTTCTTTTGTTCAGTCTTCTCTTCCTTTGTTTCATGTCTCATATTGGGCTGTTGGTCGTGCGTTTTAACTTGGCATTAGTTGAAATTGGCAGTGAGGGGGTGCTATCAGCATAGATTTTGTTATATAACATGAAGCAAACTACCTTCGTGCGTAATATTGATCGTGTCTTCATTAAAAAACGCGAGTTTAATCCGGTCTCTTTGAGGGTATTGTGTTGTGAAACAAACCAAGCGAATATAGGATGGATAAAGTATATTTTATTCAAAGGAATATGAAATAGAGTTTGCATTACAAAGGATAAACAAAGTTTGGCTGACTTTTCTAAGGCAAACGTTGTCTTACCTGATTGTGATAGGGCCAAAGACCCAAAGACGAGCGAGAATGAAAATTGTCTTCAGAAAAACGATGTTAAAATACGGATTGCTCGTGTTATATAACAAGGTCAGGTGTGGAACTCACGTGTAAAGTACACCTGTCTACAGCCCGTTGCTTCCTGATAAAGAGAAATAAAAAGGATTTGTAAACACTTCTATCTTTAAATAACAAGTATCGAGATTTATTCCACATGCACAGACCAGCTCCTGGCGATCCTCGCTCCTCGCATTTAGAGTAGTATTCAGATTTTCCTTGAAACATTTTTTCGCAATGTTTTCTTCTACCTATGGTGCCTGCATTGTCCTGACCAAAACTGAAGAAATCGACTCCAGTCCAAGGAATAAAGATGGAGAAAACCACGAACAGTGGTCATCCTCTAATCTAGTTCAGACCTATGGTGGCCTTCCAGAATCGAACATGTTTCCACCTTTCTTGATATACGCAAAAAGCTCAAATTTCGGGAGCTATGCGAACAAAGGGAAAGATTTTGGAGGAGAATTCGCCGATTTTGAGAACGCAGCTCAGGTAGTAACCCACGCACAAGGCGTGAAGAGAAGATCCCAGACACCAAGCTTTAATGATCTTGAGAAAACAGAGGAGGTAACAGAAAAACCGTCAGAGAAAGAAATGAAAGAAGGTTCCGACGACGAGGATGATTCAAGTACCGGAAAAGAGGGAAAAGGGAGCTACTGGGAACGCCGACGGAAAAACAATGCCTCAGCGAAAAAGTCGCGCGATGCTAGGAAATTCCGTGAAGTACAAACGCAAATAAGAGCAGCTTTTCTCGAGAGAGAGAACTTGCGAATGCGTACAGAACTGATGATCATCCTAAAAGAAAACGCTTGTTTGAAACGAGTTTTATGCGCCAAAATGACCTGATCGATACGCGATACTGTGTTTTGGTCTTCTAGCGAAAAGAAGGATTTGCGATTGTTATTTTTTTTGTCTTTGCTAATGGTTATATCAGACCAGGTTGATTTTCCTATTAACATGTAATACTAGGCGAGTTTCCAAGTTTGTATATTGTTATCCTTCACTAAACTGCGTTAAAATGTCAGTTTTAAACACTTTGATTTACTCAAAATTTGTCATTAAAATTACAAAAACATGCTCGTTTCGTGTGCTTTCTTATGTATATTTTCTGGCTTCAACAGAGCCTAGTTTAGGAGAGGAAAAAGGGTGGGAAGAAAAATCCGACATTGGAAAAAAAATCCACGAGAAGCTGGACTGAATTATCAGAGAATAGACATCGAATGTTACTGACATTATTCTTGATTTAACAACGGTGTCTGTCTACAAAGTTTCAAAAAACGTCAATATCAATATCGTCCTGAAATCTGGCGAAATTTTGCGAAATCAGTAATTATTTGGAAGGCTGCATTCGTCAAATGAATCGCTTTCGAACGAAAGGACGACCGTGCAAAGTAAGAATGAAAATGAGAAAGAATCACGAGAAACCAAGCCTTTAATATGCTTTGACAGTGCGTGAACTCAATCGGAACACAGACAAGTTCTTTTATTAATTCACGTGTCATGTCACCCTCACCACTTATAAATAATGCCCGATGACATTTTGTATCACTGTTATTCATGACCCTTCAAAGCTGTTTTAGTAAGAGATTATGCAAAAAATATTTTTGTTTAGTCTATGCTTGTGAAAGTTGAACTTCTTGATCGTATCTTACCTCGAAACCCCTCTTTGCACCGAGGGGGAAGGGAGATAGGCTGGAAGATGGCCCTTTGTCAGTTCAATGTGTTTTACGGTTTCGAAAACAAGGTTAGAAATCTGCCGAATCTGCTTCACTTTTAAATAAAAATGTGATTTTAAATGCTGCTCAGTATAAAATGTTTGTAGTTAACAATTATTCGCCGAAGGCGCGGTGAATATCGTCGAATAATCCCCGAGAGAAGTCGAGGGGATTATTCGACAATATTCACCTAACCTGAGGCAAATAATTGTTTTAGTATAATTTCAGAGCTGAACAACAGAGAAATTTCTAAAATCATAACATTTTAGTAACATTTATTAACATTTTATTCTAAAATTTTATATAAACCGCGTGGAGCGGTTTATATTTAGTTCTTATTAACCGAGCTGGAGGTCTGTATGGGAGAATATCTTGACCGAGGTCGCCAGTACAGACCGAACGCAGTGAGGTCTGTATCAGCGACCGAGGTCAAGATTCTCCCATACAGACCGACCTAGCACGATTAATAAAATGTTTATTATATGGCTGTGTCTTATATGCCAACTTTTTATATTCTTTGTACCTTTTTTTTTCTAGACCAGTCTAGTTGCCGGCCTGGATGGGAAAATCTAGACCGCTTTTAATATTGATTTCAGCCAATCAAATTCGTGAATTCGATAGTTCCCAGTCCTTGTGAGACAGCCATATAATAAAGCCTTATATCAGGAACCGCTCAACCAATCAGATTGCTAGAAACTCTTTGCTTAGCTCTGAAATTATACTAATAAAAGTTTGAGCTTTTGTGACATCCCCATGATGTCCTACAAAACGGTAGAATATTCATGGATCAAGGTAATTTTGGTTTTATCAGTTGAGTTATTGATGAAATTAGCCACTGTTAAGAGTTTTCGAACCTTGTAATGGTGGCCAGTTTACCTAATCAACTCAGTTGATAAAACCAAAATTATCTTGTTATACTTCCCCATAGACGTAGCACCACAGTTGCTTTAGAAAATTACCCCCACCCCCCCCCCCTTGATTCACAGATCGCATCTCCTTAAAATATCTGCAAAACTATTATGCCGATTTGCACCAAATCAAGGGCGGGCGAAAATGAATTGTGAACGAATAGCTAATAGAATTTTCTAAAATCCCATCTCAAAGAAAGGGAAAATTGTGTATAAACCTCAAGAAGGTAGGTGAAATTAACCCCCCACCCCGTGCGTTCGAGAGATTTTAAGGGGGGGAAGGGGAGAGAAGTCCGCGCTTCATCTGAGAAAATTTCACCTAATGTGGCCCTCGAACTTTGAACTGTCCAACGATTTTGTCCAATACAGAAATATCGTTCTAAATCAACTCCGTATATTGCTATTGTCAATGAACACAAACAAGTCAACCCTCGCCCTTTCTGACTGACAAGGCTGAAAAATTTCATTTCCAAAAAGTATCTTTGAGATTGAACGCAGGCACAAAGTATGTCCTAGCTGCATTTCCATACTAGCTTGGTCTTAAAAACTCAGTGGGTATGACATTTAGCTCAGCCCTGTCCCCACAGTGAATGTCAGAAAACTCAGTCGTCCCCTGGACAATTTGCCTCAGACAACTCGCCCCCGGCCGATCTTTAGACAACTCGCCCCCGATCTTCAGACATCTGGCCCCCAATATGAAAACACTTATGTTACGTTTGATAAATATATTTTTATGCTCATAAAGTCATGATTTCTTGAAAGAAGAGGAGAGTTTATTTTTTAAAGTACATCAAGAGACCGAGACTTATGTATGTAGCGATCGATTGTAACGATCGCGTAAACACATGAAAGTGACTTTTTTGTAATCCAGCCACAACATTTGAAGTAATTGTAATGAAACAGCTTTTACTGTTTGACTCAGTGACTTTTTACCATTTATTGCTTTACTGTTTTTGTTTTATGTTTTGGAGTATTCCGCTGTGAAAGAAGAACACCAGACGCAAATAACAAACAACTTTGATTGGAGACGTAAACATAGCCACCATAATGAATCTGTAATATTTAAGCCCAGAGAATATCAACACAAGGCCTGTCGGATAGACACAACACAGCTTACCTCTCAGGAAACATGCACGCGTGCTATTATCATTAGTTAACACCTCTTAAAGTGCACAAGTGTCATGAATGTTTTGAAAAAACATAACTTACCTCTCAGAAAATACACAGGCACTCTATTGTGATCAATGAGTTACCACGTATTAAAGTGACTGAATGAGACAAGACAAGACATTCAATTGACTGATCATTGATCACCAATCGAGAATCATCTCAGAACTACAACACAAGAACAACTAGAATGGCTTCCGTAGGTGACAATTGTATACTGTGCAAAGAACCCATGAGAGCAGCAAGGCGTTTATATTAGTGCGATGGTTGCCTGAAATGGAGTCATAGGACCTGTGACACTCGGGTAAAAGTGACATCTAAGGGCCTGAATCGACACGCCAAGGGCAAGTCTAACCTGCCACTGTAGTCTTATTAAAACTCCTGCACAAGGAATCGGCTCTTGTGTCGCTTCATATCAGACTCGTGTCAGAGAGAAGGCTACAAAGACATCAAAGCACAACTTACAATGCAAGAAAATGCAGAAGAAGCTGTTTAGCTTATGGCAGCAGTACGAAAAAGGTAGAAAAGATCAGTAAACAACTACTGGAAGCCTGTTCGCATTTAGTGAATCCGTTTTAAGTTAACAATCAGTTTTGAAGTACCACATGACTACACAAGTTCAGCAGTTTGTCCATGTATATTTGTGTTTATGAATAAATGAACGAATTCTTAAAATTCTAAGTTATCGAATGATAATGATTACATCATAATACGCTTGAACACGTGCTTTAACCAAGATGGCGCTGTATTTACATATTCGCGTCTTTTGTTTCTCCAACCTCAACCTTCCTTCCAGAATACTTCAAAGCAAAAAAAAAAACAAATAGTTAGATCTGTTTCACTTCAGCAACTTCAAATGTTATGGCTGGATTACAAAATGGTCACGTTTGTGTGTTAACGCGATCGTTTCAATCGATCGCTACAAACGTAAGTCTCCGTCTCGTAATGTACTTTAAAAAACAAACTTTCTTCTTCTTTCACGAAATTATTACTTTATGAGCATAAAAATATATTTGTTCAAAGTGACATAGGTGTTTTCATATTGGGGGCCAGTTGTCTGAAGATCGGGGGCGAGTTTTCTGGGGCTAATTGCCCAGGGTGCGATTTGTCCGGATACCACAATACCCCCACGGCTACAAGAGGATATCTCTTCTTTCTCACTTTAACATTTTCCATATATGGCATTGAGGATTATTTCCACAGGTCACTCAATATACTTATGGCTTCGTTTCCGGTTCACGTGACATTTTCCCTATGTAGTCACACGTCTTTGAAATTTCATTTGCGCTTGCATTCAGTAGTTATAGTCAAAACAGTTCTACAACATGCCCTTCTGTGCGATGACGACGAATGTAAATCTTGTGAAATTAAAACAACTAACTGCAGCTATGAAACTGGTGAGTATAAGTTTAGTGTTCTAATTCTTGAATGATACTCATAACAATTTTATCAAAGTAGGCTCACTCAGTAAGTACACGACTGGTTTTTTTTCCTGTTATCATTTTTAATTTTGACATTTAGTCAACGATACTGTACATGAACACACAAGTCAGTGTTCTTACGTTAACAATTGCAATTAAGCCAAAAGACTAGCTAATTGCAGCTAGAGAGTCAAATTGTTATTAAAAGTAATGGCTAAGTGACATGTGAAAGATGTTTATGTCCCTTGCTGTCTATTTTAAAAACTACTCTAACTACAATCAAGATTCTAAAACAAAAAGAGCTTCCACTATCTAAAGAGAATCTGTAAAATGGTTAAGTGAACATTACTCATTCATGTCATAAAGTTGCCTCTGGCTCGTGAATAATTAAATATATTTGCAGCGTTCATAATTGCAATTTCCTGTAAGAGCAATAACTGCTGGAAGATAAATAAAGCTCTGCCAGTTGCTTTATATTAAAAACAATTGAACAAGAAAGGTAAATGAATGTATCGATCGCTAATCATGGTACTTTTTTGAGAAACAATCCTATTACAAAAAGTTCTATTCAAAATTTTTTCGTTTAAAAATCAAGTATTTTGTAGCAGTATACATTTTTATCATATTACTGATTTAAACTCGAGCAGGTGGTCAAGATATGTAAGTGGGTTCACTTTAATTAGCATAATTATAAAAGCCGACCAGGAAATCTTCATCTCCTAAGTACATAGTACGGTAGAAAGGCTTGACAATGTTTCCTTTAATTAAGCAGAGAAACTCAACGACGTCCAATTTTTTAGCACTAAATAAGTTTCTCAAACAAAGAAACAAAAATTGAACAGTGATTATGTTGAAACAAATGCA